CCCCCTCCCACACCCACACCCACACACCCACACCCACACCCACACCCCACACCCACACCCTCAAGATACTAGATGCAAAGTTCTCTTTCTATTAGTGCTCAGCTATTTCGGCATAAGCTCGTACGAGATCCTCCGCTTTTTTGATGTCTTTGAAACTGCCTCTCATCACCTGGTTGATTTGGTTGAGTACTGAAAGTCTACTCGTTTCGCATGCCACTGTCCAAAATTCTTTTATCACCGATCGGTAAGTTGTCGACAAGGCGGCTAGTTGTTGTTGAGGATAACCAGCCTCTCCGTCTGTCATGAAGACGATAATCTGAGATAATTTACGAACTTTGTCGTTATTGTTTATACATGCCAATATGTCGATGGATTTTTGCAAGGCAGCCTCGAAACTCGTACCATCACCAGGCATCGAATTCTGCAAGCGAATTAAATCGTTCTCGGTCAATGGTTTGATTTCTTTGAATAAATCAAGTGGTGTTGTCGCTGAACCACTGAAGACAACGAATGAGGCAACATCATCAGTTCCTGCTGCTTTGCGAATATCAATGAATTTGCGAATGGCATTCATTAGAAAAGACCATCTAGTTCCACCCATGGAAGCCGACCCATCGAGCAAGAAAATGTAATGATTGGACTGCACTGTTGCCTTTGTATTCACGAGCACAAACTGCATTCTGTGTTCGTTGCACCACCGCCTACCTATCCGATTCCAGATATATGGAAGATTGCTCGACAACTTGTTTGCAGAGCCAGATGATAGTTCAGTTTTAAAGTCCCAATTCCACGCGGCGCATCCAGGTGTACTTTTCCATTCGGACCAACTAATGCGAACAGTGCCGCTTTCGTTCCTTATCATGTCGTGATCCTGGATATCTTCACAACGCTGCACGGATTAAAAATATTCGACTATTACATGATGTTTGTATTCGTATCTGGTGCTTCTATCTGTGGTATATTTGCCCAAATTTTATGTCTCAATACCGAACCAAGACAATGCTCCTATTATTTATGAATGACCCAGTGCCTCATAAAGACCAGTTGCCTCATGTTTGTATTCGTATCTGGTTTTGGCAAAGCCCCGATATTGATGACCAATTTTACAACGATGCAAATTCTCACCAACGCCAGCAGCAGTTCTCTTATCGAGCGTATGATCTATATCACAGATCCGATGACACCAAAGGCAGGATTTATCACATTGCTTACTCTCAAATATCAGCTTTTCCGTCAAACAGAGATCGTTCAACTGAGTAATGGCAACTTGCGATTTATCTTCAAAACTTTTATTCGCAGTGGTTTTTGGGTCGAGACATTTTTGGACGAAAGTAGCAAGATTCAAAATAGAAGTCGAATGAAATTTGTCAGTCATCGTCGACATTATTGTTGTCACATCGGCCTTAGATGGCTCCGTCATTGGGAACTTTGGGAACTTTTCTATCATCTGCAAGCCAATGTCTGATAGCGAATAGGTAACGTTAAATAATTGAAATTGACGAGGTAGTGGATTCTGTTTGCTAAAGTAGGCGAAGAGAAGAAGAGACATGCATCGTCCCTTGTTTGCAATGTTCAGATTATTCGCACCATTACTTGTAGTGAAAAGTTCACTAATGAAGGTTACCTTATCGGCTTGGTACTGTTGCAAGACTAACTGAATTATTTGTAGATGTTGGAAGAATTGATCGATGATCGATTTGCATTGTTCCTTGCATTCCTTAATAAATAACTCAGTCGCTTGCTTTGTACTCATCCAACGTTTGTTAAACTTATTCTTGAGTGTACTGACTGGGTCCTTAATGTAATTATAAAGTTCGTCATCGTTCATTTGAGGTACTTCTATATCAAGTTCCGCCAAAAGGGTTAACCGATCAAGCGATTTCGTGTCAAGCTGGATTTGCTCGTGGATTTTCTTTTCCACTTTTTTTCTAAAATATTCGATCACGGAATCGACGAATACTTTGACAAGATCTTCAGCAAATCTTGGATCTGCTTTTTGGTCCTGCGTAACCATTGCAATAAAGTAGGCCCGCCAACCAGGTTTTTTCTCTCGCACTTTTGAAAGAACATCATCAAAAAAGCGCCATTGCTCATCATAGTAGAATTTTGTCAGAACGAGAACGGTATATGTGTGTATCGCTCCTACATAATGTTTCGAAGCAGCCAACTTGAAAATATCAAGTTCATTATTGATTTCATTAATATGACCAAGAATCATACCGACCAGTTGTTGGACAAGATCAATGTCCACTGGTCGACAACGAGCATCTGTTTCATCTAAAATCACTACGCTCAGTATGATCTTAAGTAATTTGTCAAAACTTTTTTTGACGTGCAATAGTTTCTTCCAAATGCCAGGCTGTGCGTTGGAGGAAGCCGGTGCAGCATCCATTTTAAGAATAAATCGTCTCAAATGTAAATGGAATTCATGAGACCAAATATCAGCCGTTATGTCGTGATGATACTGATCGTATTCCTTGATAAGAGTAGGAACGTAAAAATATTTGAATTCGTCAATTGTCCTTCGCGTGTATTCAGCTGTTGTATCATATTTAAATGGAAGCTCTTGAATAGGAGTGTGGCTGGACATGTTTTCAATACATAATTTCTGTATTTTCTGAAGTATTTGCATATCGTTCTGCTTCTGTGCTATTTTGTCGGCGATGGCTCGAGGCGTGGCTGGCGTAACTTCTGCCGATCGTGGGATGCAACTGAGTAATGGTAACAAAACTTTGATGTCTGGCAGATTTGATTTCTCGAAAATATGGTAATTTCGATAGACAAATTGTAAAGCCGATTGAATTTGTTTATCATGATTGAATTCTGATGCGACACGAGGATAAGTATTGTTCCATATTTTGTCGAATATATCTCCAGCTTGTTGTTCACTCAATCGGCCATTGTTTGTAATGGTTGCTTGAATTTGATTGAGAAACTGTGTATTAGCATTGGGTACCAGCTTTTCTAGTTCATGACGTTCGTTTTTTCTTATAGCCTCAATTGTCTGTTGAATAAGTTCATGGAACTGTGTCTCACCTTTTCGTACCAAGTCTTCTAGCTGATGGCGTTCATTATTCATTATAGCAGATTCTATCCAAGCCCGCAAGAGACTGTCAATTTGAGCATTGAGAAAACTTTCGGAACGTTTTCTAACATTCTCCGTAGCTGCTATCAATTTCAACTGATTTTTAAGCTCAATATTGAGGTCTTCCCTCAATTTTTGGAATTTCAGCTCGAAAATACGTTTTGTTTCTCTTACAGATTGTCCTTTCGCTTCACTGAGCAGCTCTTGACGAAGACAGGCCGTAAAAGTCTTCTCAAGAATCTTTCGAATCCATTCGCGCATTAAATCGTCTTGTTCGCGTTCGCGAATATCATTGAAATATGTCATATCAGGAAATTTCCGAAGTATTTCAAGCACAGTGGCGGCAAATTTTACCCATCGAAGAGGATCAGAGAACTGTTCACGCGCTTGCTCCAAGTTTTTGGCAGCTGTACTTACAAACTGTTCGCATAGGCGTTGTACATTTTCGATAAAATCAGGATCTGTACGCAAAAGAGTTGCTTTCGTTTGGTCATCGGAGAAACGTTCTTTCTTGAACGCAGATGGAAGAGTATGAAACGTTTTGTCGTTAAGTTCAACTTCCTTGTCTAGCTTGACTTTTTCAAGTTCTTCTTTGATTCTGTTGATAGCAGCTTTGTTCATTTCAACATCAGGATTGACCTTCTGGTTGAGAACAACGTGCACAGGTGGACGATGAACTTTATTCACTCCCAGTTTTTGCAGTGAGTCCGTGCAAAGGATAAGCATTTTCATTAAAGTTGCATTGACTTCCCCAGCTACATTGACAATAACAAGATGTGACACCGCCAGACAGAAAAGTATCAAACGACGATCGTATTCTTCATCGTTTTTTTCAACTCCAAGTAAGCCTTCTGTGTCAATCAACATGATATAGTCGAAATCAGACCGATTCGACTTGACCATTGATCCATAAACGCCTTCGAAAAGAGAAAAAACAAAATACATTATCGGATTGTATTGAGTTAGGTGTGGCTGAATAGATGATTATTTCACATCTACCTGCCATCAAAAATACAGCAATCACTGGACTGGATACCGAAGTTCCTTCTGACAGCAGGCGTATTATTTTCTAGAATTTTGTGCGACTTTTGAGAGGCACTTGAGAATTTTTCGTAAAACACGAGTGTCGCAATTTCTTAGAAAAGTGATACGAAACGTTCCCATCTTAAGAACATTTCACAGCATTTATTTAGAAGACGAGCAATCCGTTAAAATGGCCGGCATGAACTAGGATTGTACAACTCACGTTCTCGCTCATGAGTGTGAGCGGTGCAATCCGTGTCATTAGAAAGTTAAATGGACTGCATATTTAGGATATTCTTAAACGAAAATGCTCACAGTCACGTGTGCGCGAGCGAAAAGCGCTCACTCTGGCGCTCATATGACCGCTCATGAGCGTGACCTGCACACCCTACCATGAACTCGTTTCGCAACTCCTACGAAATATTATTGAGACGCTACCACCGATTGAGATGATCTCAAAGTTCTTCATAGTTGAAATTTCGAGGCCGGATCTGAGTACTTTTCCACCCATTGTCGACCATCTTCACTTAAGTCCTGTCCCTGTCAGCTCCAATGTTGATGACTGCAGGCTCACTTCAATCTATTGTGAGATATTTCAACGTCATGCTAGCTTTCCAGTGATTGGAAAATCACATTAAGGGCTCTCGTTTAGGGAGGGAAGAGATTTTCTCCTTGCTGAATTTGCTCTTATGTTTAGACTTTCTCTCTGAAAATCTTTATTTGCCACTGATCAGTGAGTTTTTTGGTATTTTCTGTAGAGGAAATTTAACAAAATGTATGCAAAAGAGAACAGTTTCTCTCATGTTTTTCTAAGAGAAACATCCAGTTTCACCAAAACAGAAGGCTTCAGTGGAAGATTTCACGAAAAATCGACTGATTTTAATTCAGACAAAGCTCTTCCTAGAGTTTTCAAGGAGAATTAGCCATTTTCTGTCAGGGAGAAAGTTTTCTTTGATCTGTGGATTATTTCTCCCTGGTTTCGGGAGACTTTCTCTCTGACCTTTCACCCTCCTGAGTAGAATCAAACAAGAGCCCCGAACACATTTTGTAGAAAATTTTCCTATGGATGCTGAAAGCTTTTGTAAAACTATTATCAAGAAGGTAATTTACCGCGTGTGCAGCGACCATCCCGAACGTCGAAAAGAGTTCCAAACATGTAATTGAGTAAAGTGCTTTTGCCGCTATTTTGTGGACCGATAATGCTAATGACAAAGAATCTGGTGCCTTGCATGTTAAACATCACTTTCTCGAGAAAGCTTGATTGATAATAAAAGTTATCACCGTCGATAATTTCAAAAGGTTGACCAGTGGCAATCATGTCTTGATAATGTTGAACAAGCTCTTGTTTTTGTTCATCACTAGGTATATGATCATAGCATACGATTGCGTTTCGCCAGTGTACTTCCATAGTGAGGCGGGATTCATAGGGCAAATCAATTGCTCTTTGACAAGCTTTCAATTTCTTG